CATTTAAGGAATTTTGTTTATATGTTTATGATTTTGTCGAAATGAATTTGTTTGCCTTGGTTACAAGTGTGAACTAAACGTTAATCACACGAAATACCGAAGTTACTAGTATTGAATTCAGATTTTCTTGCGAAAGTTTACTATGAGTTACAGTCTGTAGTCTGTAGCTTATGATGATATTTTCCAGATCTTTGAAGGCAATCGTTTTAGTTTTAGCATAGATTGTACTCTATTTTACATAGCAGAAAAACAATTATTGTTAGCTTTTGCAATCTAAGTCATTCAATCAGTAGCTTAACAATCAAATAGTAAAAAAAAAACCTTTTCAAAACATTATTAAAAAAAACAACAAACAAACCAAGTAACATATTTACCCTAAAGTCACTCCATTAAATTGATCGCAATTAAACGATAGTAGGCTACTAGATATCGCAATCTAAGTCATTCATTAAGTAGCTTTACTATAAAACAAGTTAATAAACAGTCTAGTGACAATTTAAGCGAAATTTCCTTATGTTACCCATAACAATTTTTAATTTTTTGTGACCGAACGAAAGGATATTTTTTTGCGCTAAAAACCTACAAGATGCTTAGTTTAAATTAAAAATATCATCCAAGGCCTACACGATGCTCAGTTTAAAAATTCTCAATTAATTTTTTATGACCGAACGAAAGGATATTTTTGAAAACTTTCTTCGGCAATATTGTTCTAAATTATGGCAGAAATCGATTGGTAAATGTTTCAAGTCGCTAAGTGGTCTGGTTGCCGAGATATGGGCCAAAAACTGCAGCATTTTTTTCGAGGTTTTTTGGCTTTTCCGGGAAAATCAGGAAGGAATTCCGGGAATTTTTTTGACCCACAATCATCCTCGGAACTTGCTTAACATATTTGCTTTTGGAACTAGTCCTCGATATTGCTTCGTTGAGGAGGAGATACGACTTAAAGCTGCGGACACACATCCATCCAGAAAGAATTAATAATCGCAATTGTCAGTATGGAAATTGCGCTAAAAATTAGTAACACACTCTTACGCCCCGCGATATAATCGATTGGTACCCACATGAACTAACTCTGCAAAGAAATGTTGCTGTCGTTTTAACTGCGGTGCCATGCATGCTGGGATTGCATCCCCCGATACATCCGAATCCCCCCGTCACACTACAAACAAAGCTATCACGTGACCAAGCCTCAGCCCCAAAAGAAACGCATTCATTTCGTCTTTTAATCTTTCATGTCACGCCCATGTTTTTTCCACACTATCGCCCCGTCTCTCTATCTTTCTAATTTTTCTCTCTCTATTCCATGCACTTAACCGCCCCCCCCCCCCCACCCTCCCCGATACACGCCCTAGCATTTGAAATCGGTAGTGAGTTTTCTCCCTTCGTTTGGTCCCACGTGCGTCGCTTCTTGGATGACCTCCCCTTGATAAGGTTTTTACGGCGAGTTTAGGGCCTATCTAAACACACGAGAACTAGAAATTAATTACCGCGATACTCAGCGAGTGCCGTGAATTAATTGCGCTTGCTCGCGTTCGGGAATTCCGCGGGTAATTTACAACTGACTCCATTTACAGCTTTACACAGGGCCCCCGTGAGAACGGTGGGACATTGGGAGCTTGCGCGCCCTAGGGCAGAATGGGCGCCCTGTATCAAGATTGGGCGCCCTGTAGGACTCTTAAGATAAGCGTCCTCTAGAAAAATAGTCACCTTTTTGCCAAGATCATCACCTAGTTTTAGTATATTTATACAAATATAAATAAATAAATAAATAAATAAATATATAGGCGTATATATATATATATATATATATATATATATATATATATATATATATATATATATATATATATTTATATATATATATATAAATAATTGTATATAGGCCCTATATATATATATATATATATATATATATATATATATATATATATATATATATATATATATATATATATATATATATATATATATATATATATATATATATATATATATATATATATATATATATGTATGTCTATATGACCTTCTTTAATAGCATTTGATCGTGTTTCCCACACGTAAATATAGAGCCTTCCTACTGACACATTTATACCGCCGATATATTTTTCTTCTAAACTTTCCCTTTCACGTCTTATCTTAACCTTATCACTGTCTGGGGTAGGCAGACCCTAAAGCACGAACACACACACAGACAGACAATAGACTCGACAGAAAAAAATCACACTGTTATACACATACAATGTTGAAACAAGCGATTGCCACAGGGACATACTTAAACTAAATATACTGAAAGAATGTCATCTAAGAAAGACTATTTGCAATTATTTTTTGTTGTTGAAAACATCAACTTAGCCACACAAAACACCAATCATATGGACCTTCACCAACCACCCAACCATCTAGCCATCGAACCATCAAGCCACCCATCCACGCAGCCACCTAACCACTCAGTTACCAAACCACCTAACCACCCAACCACCCATCCATCCAGCCACCCTAACACCCACTACAGTCTCACGTTTGAAGTCCCGTTGAACGTCCGCCATCTTGGATCTCGCTAGACCAAAAGAAAAAAAGCAAGCAGAACTGGGTAATCTCGAGCGTAAACTGTTTTTAAAAGCCGTAAAAGATTGAGCTCACGGCTCGAGCTTAACTCCAGACTCACCAACAGGTGTGTGAGCATGAGATAGGCCGACACCTGTACGGGGAGGGTGGGGTGGGGGAGAAGGGTGCTGGGTTATTCTCAGGGTCTTACACTTCACAGGTGACCCACTTTAACTAGTCTCACATATGACCCCCGTAAGTAGGGTCTCACACTTCACAGGTGAACCACTTTAACTAATCTCACATATGACCCCCGTAAGTAGGGTCTCACACTTCACAGGTGAACCACTTTAACTAATCTCACATATGACCCCCGTAAGTAGGGTCTCACACTTCACAGGTGAACCACTTTAACTAATCTCACATATGACCCCCGTAAGTAGGGTCTCACACTTCACAGGTGAACCACTTTAACTAATCTCACATATGACCCCCGTAAGTAGGGTCTCACACTTCACAGGTGAACCACTTTAACTAATCTCACATATGACCCCCGTAAGTAGGGTCTCACACTTCACAGGTGAACCACTTTAACTAATCTCACATATGACCCCCGTAAGTAGGGTCTCACACTTCACAGGTGAACCACTTTAACTAATCTCACATATGACCCCCGTAAGTAGGGTCTCACACTTCACAGGTGAACCACTTTAACTAATCTCACATATGACCCCCGTAAGTAGGGTCTCACACTTCACAGGTGACCCACTTTAACTAATCTCACATATGACCCCCGTAAGTAGGGTCTCACACTTCACAGGTGAACCACTTTAACTAATCTCACATATGACCCCCGTAAGTAGGGTCTCACACTTCACAGGTGAACCACTTTAACTAATCTCACATATGACCCCCGTAAGTAGGGTCTCACACTTCACAGGTGAACCACTTTAACTAATCTCACATATGACCCCCGTAAGTAGGGTCTCACACTTCACAGGTGAACCACTTTAACTAATCTCACATATGACCCCCGTAAGTAGGGTCTCACACTTCACAGGTGAACCACTTTAACTAATCTCACATATGACCCCCGTAAGTAGGGTCTCACACTTCACAGGTGAACCACTTTAACTAATCTCACATATGACCCCCGTAAGTAGGGTCTCACACTTCACAGGTGAACCACTTTAACTAATCTCACATATGACCCCCGTAAGTAGGGTCTCACACTTCACAGGTGAACCACTTTAACTAATCTCACATATGACCCCCGTAAGTAGGGTCTCACACTTCACAGGTGAACCACTTTAACTAATCTCACATATGACCCCCGTAAGTAGGGTCTCACACTTCACAGGTGACCCACTTTAACTAATCTCACATATGACCCCCGTAAGTAGGGTCTCAAACTTCACAGGTGAACCACTTTAACTAATCTCACATATGACCCCCGTAAGTAGGGTCTCACACTTCACAGGTGAACCACTTTAACTAATCTCACATATGACCCCCGTAAGTAGGGTCTCACACTTCACAGGTGAACCACTTTAACTAATCTCACATATGACCCCCGTAAGTAGGGTCTAACTGGTGAGCTCTGGGCCATTCCGCCTCACTTGAGATTGAACCAGGTGTGCACGATTTCACACAAGCCCCATATTCGGACCTCACTTAACCAACCCACATATGACCCACATCTATGACCTACATCTATAGGGTACCACAACCCACACATGACCCACATCTATAGGGTACCACAACCCACACATGACCCACATCTATAGGGTACCACAACCCACATATGACCCACATCTATAGGGTACCACAACCCACACATGACCCACATCTATAGGGTACCACAACCCACACATGACCCACATCTATAGGGTTCCACACCACACAAGACCCACTTCCCAGAGGTCCCAAGCCTCACTTGTACAATTTTGTTAGATTATGCTTATAATTAAATTTGCTTATATTTTAAACTGAATTATTAGTTTCGATTAATATTACTGAAGGCAACCACGGAGAAGGAGAGAAGAAAGAGAATCAAGGAATGCTGGGCTTAAAAGGGCTCAAATGAAAAGAGCTGCCCAAAACAGAGTCCTCTGTAGAGGTACAGCTGCAGCCCTTTCTCACCAGGGTATTGACAGAAATAACTCACACCAAATAAGATTCATTTTTCCAGTGCCAAAAAACAGGGTGTATAACCAATTTTCCCGAAACTTCTCAACTTTTCCAGCAAGGAATTAGAAGCTTCATGGCAATGTTGATAATAATTCAAATTTCAAAACTTTATTTTATGTGTAATTTCAAAACTTTATTTTATGTGTTTTTGTTATTGAGTCTCTTATCAAAAATTTCCTTCAAGATTAAAATGGGAATTCCCCGTCAACTCATTCAGATCTGTTTGACTTGCGCTGAAAAACAAAATAAAAAGTTGTCCTTACCTTCCCAGCTTCGTGACAATCATCTCGGTACCCAGGCTGTCAAACTCATCCCACAGCTGTTTCATCTCCAGCTGGGCGCTGGCGTTGACCAGCTTGACGTGCAGGGGCTTGCTGGGCTGGTCCAGTTTGAGGGCGCCCTCGATACTGCTGCTACGCTCCTTCTCCAGCTCCGACCCGGACAGGTCCGCACTGGAGCAGTCAGAGTCGTGTTTCACGTCTTCCAGCTCCGGGGACGGGCGTCCGCAGTGGGTGTGGGACGCCGGGGTGGGGTGGTCGGGGGGCTGGTCGAATCGCAGGGTGTCGAACATTCGACCCATGCAGGCGCTGGATCCGATCACACAAGCTGTGGACGACAATTTCAAGACATCATAAATATTTAATGTTAATATTGATTTATATAAAAACTGATATTGACTTTAATATAATTTAATATTGACTTATTTATATTAATGTGGGCTAACAGGTAACATTGATTTTTATAACAATTAAGGGGGAGGGCTCCGGTTAAAAAAAAAAACTTTTTAAATACTCATTAGAAAACAGTTATGTCTTTACAGCTTTATTAAGATACATCCGCATATGCATTTCCACTAAAAAAAATTGGTGAAAAAATCTTGGTAACTATAACAACGGCGGCCATCTTGAAAAATTAACCCCTTCGTAGGTTTGCCACCATTTATAAAATATTATATTTTAAGCCCAATAAACAATTAATTCATAATCTTCTTCTATATTTTGGGGCACTCAGCTAAAAATTTTAAGTGCATATCTTCAAACTAATTTTTTATGAATTTTCAAGATTTATGTCCATTAAATGCAATCTAATGTCAATTAAAAACACTAGTTTTAATGCCCCAAAATTCCCCAAAATGTAGTTTTTTGAAGGGACACAAATTTTGAAAATTCATAAAAAAATTAGTAAAGAAATAGCTTTTTTCTAACGAGTATTTTACCGGAGCCTTTCCCCTTAATATTGTAATATTGTAATATTGGTAGAGAGCTGGATTGCTAACCCGTAAGTCTCGAGTTCGAATCCGGGTTCAAGTTAGTGGAACGTCCCTGAGTCCACCCAACTCTGATGGGTACCTAACTCACGCTAGGGAAAGTAAAGGCAGCTGGGCATAGTGCTGACCACACTATCTCTTCATATGCCGAGGTCACAGAAACAAGTAAACTCTATTTCACTTGCCCCATAGACCGTCAGTTTTGAAAAGGAACTTTTATAAAAGTTAATATTGACTTATATAAGAGTTAACTTTGACTTTTAATAACAGCTGACATTGTCTTTTAGGACCATTATGTTTTTTTTCTGCTGCCAGTGTGGGTTAGGATGAGGATTGTGATCAGGTTTAGGTTTACGGTTAAGGGAGGTCCGGACTTGAGTTATGGTTAGAGAGATAGGGTCTGGGTTAGGGTCAGTGTTAGGGTATAGACAGGGTAGATGGCGCAACTCTAGCTGGTCAATAGTAAGTGTTTCTATGTACTTTTGAACAAAATTAAACACATTATTGGCCCAGTCTTGCAAAAACCAGTCATGCGACTACGAGGTGTAGTCTTACAGTCGGTGTATTTTACATCTCAAAATGCCAATAATTGGCCATTACAACAAATAGTCCTGTCGAAAAGAATATTTTCAACATAAAGTAGGCTAACAAAACTTGTTTGCCTTATCAGAATATAAACAGAGAAGCGTTAGGCCAATCTCATTCGATTACACCTGCATTCCTCAACAGTAGGTGTAGCTTAAAAAACCTGGCTTATGTTAATTAGATTATGTTTGTTTCACTAGCGTGATTAGACGGAGATCTAATTATCTCTCCCATGTCCTAATTGTTGCACCGTGATTACTATTTACACAGTGATAAGTAAACAACACGTTTTTTTTTTAATTGTTAGGCCTAGCAATCTTTTTAGCTTCCATGATGTTAATGAAAACGAACAGCCCACATAGGGTTAATCAAAATACCTTTCCGTTTCCGTTTCGAGTTTTTCTAACATCGAAACAAATTAGAATGAGTTGTAGACGATGAGGGGGCGACTTTGGTAACCCACAGTTGTTGAATGAGGGGTCAGTGGCACACACCTGACCTACTGCACTGTTGGATTTTTTAGTACCACCCATCTCCTGTATTGGTGTTATAAGTCACAACACCCCAGATTTGTTAGTACCGCCCATCTCCTCTATTGGCGTTAGAAGTTACAATACCACACCTCCGAAGTTGTGAGATTAGTACCAACCTCCCCGAGCCCGATGGTGGTATCATTCCTTTAACCCCCCCCCCCCCCCCCCCCCCAACAAATCATAGCATAATGTATGTGCAGCTTTTAAACATTTTATTTTAAATATTTTTTTCTTAAAAAATCGCTTGAAAAACTGTTATACTGTATAACTACTAATGGTTCTATAACTTAAGTTTAATCATTATGGATTCTAGTATTAGGAATATTAGGCATATCTGTTTTTTTTCCTCTCTCATTGAAAGCCATTGCTTCTGACTTTTGGTTTATATGCCCTTTAACATGAAGACCAATACATGAAGACACGAATAGTGAACTTTAGGGGGCGGTGCAGGTTACTACGTACAACAAACACTCACCCCTTTTATCCCCAATACAACAATTGAGTCTAAAAATACTCTCAGATTTAAGGTTGTTGCATAAACTACAACACAGCTCTTTGGGGGTGGGTGACGAACATAGAATAGCTTAGATGACCATAAGAGGCCATATACGAGAGGAGGGTATTACACAAATTTGCCGTCAAACTGTTGGGTTTTATAAAAGTAATTTTAAACTGACTCTTAGCAGTTATTTATTTTTAACGATATTTTTCGTTATTATTTTTTTTTACAAAGACGTAATTTGTACATGATCTGCCTAAAAATTCTAAACAGTAAATTTGTTATTTGTGTGTGTGTGTGGGGGGAAGGTGCATTTACAGGAAAGCGTGACGTTATTTCAGGGCATTAACACTATTTTGTGACGCTTTGTAAAGATATAGCAAGACGATGATTGTGAACAACCCCTTGTTTAGGAGAAACTTTCACTTAGACCACTGTATTTTCCGTACCCACGGAAATCAGCCACCAGGTTCCCAAACCAAATTTCGAACCACACTCCGCGGCATCCAATTTGGCCTCAGCCGCTGCCGAGTGTCTGGCAACGATCAAAACTCCAAGAGAGACATCAAATCTCTCGTCTGGCACGACTTCCGGCTAGCCGGACCCTCGGAGATGTGACGTCAGTTCGGTCTGACACCGCTACCTGGACGGGCCATCATCATCACTCGCGTCACGGCGATCATTACCGCCATCATCGGTGTTATCGCGAGCCCGCGCGAGAATCACGAGGGACCCGCGCGAGGGCCGTGACGTCACCTGACACGGCTACCGAGCGGGGTAATTGGCCGGAAGTCCTGCTGGGATTGCATTAGGGATATTAGCGCCCCCTGGTGTGGGGCTCACCCCAAGGGAGCTAACTCTGTGAGCAGCAGACGCTTAATTGGAGTTGCTGCACGTGCGGAGGACTCAGGCAAACACAAATCACCAACATAGACGTTTCCACAGGTCGCTATTCTTATGGCCAATAGTTGAAAGCAATATATATATATATATATATATATATATATATATATATATATATATATATATATATATATATATATATATATATATATATATATATATATATATATATAGGCTATATGTAAACTGCGTTAGGCCTATTATTTTATAAATGAGGCCAATAATACAAATTGGAAAACAACGAACTGTATATGTATAGGCAGGCAGATACAAATGAAGACTTATCAACATTGGTCGGCTATGTGTTGTTAATAATTAAATGTGTAAATTTGTTTTAATCATTTGCAAATCAACACATTTTATTGAAAGGAAAAAAAACACATACTTTATTGATATTTTAGTGTGGTACCCATTTTAAGTAAACAACGTCCGAACATGACATGATGAGAGCTAATGTTAATTAATTAACACTGTAAAATTACAGCGTTTGTTGTAGAAACAAATGGTCACCCTTATATAAAGCCCCACTTATTTTTGTTGATGTAAAAGTATTTCTAATGTGGGACCTTGGCCTAAATAATTCAATATTCATTTCTAGTAGGAAAAATTTAGGTGGGAAAGCACAATTTAAATGTTGTTGCTAAAGATTGTGTTTAACCCATTAAAGCAGACTCAGACCAATACTAATACAACACGGGGAAATGGGGTTTACTATGTTCTGAATTAGTGATTTTAAGATCAGGTTAGTTACTTAATCCACGTAATACAACTAAAAAATGTAAATGTATTCATTGAACGCCAGTGTAAGATTAAATACACCTTATGTATTTTGCACTGCAATAATTTTAATTAATTAAATTACAATCATTTACTTGTAATTGTTTTTTCATATTCTGAATATAATGTGACGAAAAATAAACACGAAACGTTATGTGCTTAGACTGAAATTATTTTTAAAAACTCAACTTAGAATCAATATGTATTTAATGAGAATACTTATTTTTAAAAACTATTGCGGCTATGCATATAGTTTTAAAAAAAAATCTGTTAACTTTTATCTTAATTTTGATAGAGTTAGTAACGATTAGGATTACACGGTTCGATTAAGAAGATGAAGAGAGAGGGGTGGTTGAAACTCGGGATAATTAATTAAGGATGTTTTAATGATAAATACCCTCACCCCTCTCCGCATCCACACCTTACTTCATCTCTCCCCCCCCCTCTCTCACACACAGTTATACACCACAGTAAACTTGCACATATTTTAACCCACACCAGCGTAAACTTTCACTAGGATCTCCGGTCATGTTTAAATAACTGCCACGTCCGACAACCCGTATTTTTCTTCATTTATCACAGAGCTTTTAATGAGATAACCCGTGCCATTTGAATGATGAGTGGCCTGCCCTTGTCGGGACAGACAGGGCTAGTCCTGGCTAGTGTTTGGTCTGACTGCCACTAGTCAAGGGGAGGACAACTCGCCACTGCTTGCTGCAGAAAAATGATGAGTTATCCTTCACAGTCCGAATACATTAGGCTACCATCAGAATTTTGATATGAGATTTTTTACACACAATATTAGGCCCTATACGTTTTCGATATTAAAATTAAATCAACGCCATAGTCTTCTATTTTGATAATCTATTCTTTTGAAAGCAGTGCATTTGTTACACATTTATATTGATTGGCATGGAGGTATAGCGTTTGTTTACAGGCCTCTAAGTCTATCATTGTTTTTGATTTTCAAATACTTTCGTTGTGTTATTGTTCCTAAATTTTGACATTTAAATAGTAAATTTAATATTTTTTGTCTCACGTT